TTCTACCACTATCTCACACTGAGTAATGAGTACCTCTCTTTGCAAGTAGAACTATTGATCAATAGGGATTTGAATTTTTTGGTTGGTTTATTTGTGTGTGTGTGTGTGTGTGTGTGTGTGTTCTGTGACTGGGGGAGTTCAGAGAAATCAAGAGAAAACCAAGCTGAAGAAATTAATTTGCATTTAATTCTGATAGTGGTGAGGTTCATGGTCATTTTTGACTCTTGGATATAAGTTCCAAGGTCTGGAGTTCAGCTCCTGTAAAAATTATGTGATATGGAAAAAAATCTTCCAGAGTGCCCAACAGGATGGGTGTAGTTCCCTTGCCTATGGACAGCAAGAGATCATCCACCAGAGCAACACATGCTGACTTTCCCCCATGCTCTGGACTGAAGCCTGACTGAGAGGGATCCAGGATACTGGCAATTGACAGGTGTCATTAGACACTTGGTTTTTTTTACTAGCTTCTCAATTAGCTTACAGTTGCTTGAAAGATCTCTTTCATTGAGAAATGTTTGCAGTAATGGTTGCTTCACTTGTCCTGTTCATTCTCCCATCTGTCTTTCAGTGTCTGCTCATCACCTTTTAGAATCCTCTCATTTTCATTTTCCTCCCAAATTTTCTCTTTCTGGCCTGTAATTATACTCCTTCAGGCCTCCTTAAGTCTTCCTTCATGGATGTTTCACTTATTTTTTTCCATTCCTTCAGTCTTCTGTAGCAAATTGTTACTACTTCTTGTCTCTGAAAACTTCCCCTGTGGATTTCCTGATTCCCCATATTTGCTTAGGATCCCACTACTGGAATCTCCCATAGATTCCCTTCTACACTTACTGAAATTCATCCATGGTGTAACTCCATTGCCCTTTGTGACACAGAGTCATTGGTGCCAGCTGGCAAACAGTTCAATACTCTGTGTCAGCCCCTCCTATCAGGCTTGACAAACTCACCACACCCAACATGCTGCTTTCACAGTGCTTATCAAAAAAGTCTTCTGTAAGGTATGAATGAAATGAAAGCCCATGACACACAGGTCATCAACATTGTTGTGAATAATATGTACTTACACTGTATAAGGGATTCTGGAATATCTTGACTTTAGTAAGGCTTTTGATTTCACATGACCTTCTCATAAACAAACTAGGGAAATACAACCTAGGGGCAGCTACTATAAGATGGGTGTATAACTGGATGGAAAAACATTCCCTGAGAGTAGTTATCAGTGGTTCACAGTCAAGCTGGAAGAACATATTGAATGGGGTCCCACAGGGATCAATTCTGGGTCTGGTTTTGTTCAATATCTTCACCAATTATTTAGATAATGGCATAGAGAGTACACTTATAAAATTTGCAGGTGATACAAAGCTGGGAGGGGTTGCAAGTGCTTTGGCGGTTAGGATTAAAATTCAAAATGATCTGGACAAACTGGAGAAATGCTCTGAAGTAAATTGTATTTGTCCTTATTGAATTTCATCCTAAGTACTTCGCTTGGGAAAGAACAATCAGTTGCACACATACAAAATGGAATTGACTGGCTAGGAAAGAGTACAACAGAAAGGTCTCTGGGGATCATAGCAGATCACAAACTAAATATGAGTCAACAGTGTAACACTGTTGCAAAAAAAAAGCAAACATCATTTTGGGATGCATTAGCAGGAGTGTTGTAAGAAAGACACAAGAAGTAATTCTTCCGCTCTACTCTGCACTGATTTGGACTCAGCTAGAGTATTGTGTGCAGTTCTGGGTACCACATTTCAGGAAAGATGTGGACAAATTGAAGAAAGTCCAGAAAAGAGCAACAAAAATGGTTAAAGGTCTAGAAAACATAATCTATGAGGGAAGATTGAAAAAATTGGGTTTGTTTAGTCTGGAGAAGAGAAGACTGAGAGGACATAATAGTTTTCAAGTACATAAAAGGTTGTTAGAAGGAGGAGGGAGAAAGGTTGTTCTCCTTAACCTCTGAGGACAGGACAAGAAGCAATGGGCTTAAATTACGGCAAAGGCAGGAAATTAGGAAAAACTTCCTAATTGTCAGGGTGGTTAAGCACTGGAATAAATTGCCTAGGGAGGTTGTGGACTCTCCATCATTGGAGATTTTTAAGAGCAAGTTAGACACACACCTGTCAGAGATGGTCTAGATAATACTTAGTCCTGCCATGAGTGCAGGGGACTTGGCTAGATGACATCTCAAGGTCCTCTTCAGTCCTACAGTTCTATGATTTTATGTTGAAATTATGTTTTAAAATCTGTAACAAGGCAGAGTGGACAGAAAGGTTTTCTGCCAGACAAAAGCATGTGTATTTACCCATCCCTGTTTCTCTCATGTCAATTAAGCATTATAAAGCCAACACAATGGAAGCCTCATTTGCATGTGAAGTCAACAGGAAAAACAGATGGGTAGTGGGGCGGGGATGTGAAACCAACAGGAGGGGAGCATACCAGAGAACAAGCAGTGAGGGAGTTTCAAAAGTTTACTGGACTATAAGAGAAAGGAAAAAAGGATCTCTTTGCTTCCTCAGTGAAGGATAAAAAAAGGACAGTGCTTTTTGCATTTATGAAATTTGGGTATTGGCCATGTAAGTGATGCTGGGAGATTTCTTTAGGTGAGAAATTACTTTAGAAAAGGATTTTAGCTTGTTAGAGTTAAGTTTAGTCTCTAAGAAGTTCTTTGGAGACAGCTTACCTGACCATTTTCTCTGAGTGGCTAGTGACAGGCACTGGATACTACGGAAGGGGATGCTGGCAGAAGAACTTGGGGATTGGTATATCTGACGCTAGCCTGCACAAGAGACGGCGAGGTCTGTGGAGACCTGTAAGTCAGTATTTGTCTGTGGCTAGAAGCTGTTGGCTGAGCTACAGCAAGCATCAGGCAAGACTGTTTCATGCCAAGGGCAAGTGGTGGTGGTGGTGAGGTGCCTCACAGCCCTGAGTACCACTGGGGAACATCACAACCTTAAATCAAATGGGAATGTGCTCCATTGTTGTGTTTTCTTTTTATTCCCCTCAGTTTGTCAATTTCCTAATTCCTTTTTACATGCAAATGGATTATTCTCTATATAAAGAGGATACCTGGGCAGTTCAGCCATTTGGAGTTTTGCTGTTGATTTGCCAACATATTTAGTAGAGATGAGCCTGGATTCAAACCCCAGATACTAAAGCTTCAGAATAAAGTGAAGTGTGAAGCTGCATTTGAATCCTAATTTCACAGATCAAGCCCCTCTCTTAATAGTTAACTGGCACAAAACTAGAATAAGCTTGCCCACCCCTTTCACAAAGCAGCAGGAATTGATTAAATTACTAAATCAAAATAAGTAATTTTTTGAGCCTTTGGAAGTGATTAAAATCTTTGAGAAGGCAGCCCCTTTTCTCTCACAGGTACTTCTGTATTATACCTACCAAGGAAATATTTAGAAATACATTATTGCTGTTGTTCTTTATAGTAAGTTCTCCTTATGGCAACATTTTTATTTATTTCATGCATTATTGATTGCACTGGGTTTGAGATAATATAAAAGCACCAGTTCTCTGTGAATCATTTTCTGGGAGTAAAACATAATATTAAACAAAAAGCAAAGAAAAAGCTCAAATAAATACTCATCTTCAGGTCATGGCTGTTCTTCAGAAAATCTCATGAATATGCAAGGACATTTTTCCTAAATCAGTGACAATGCCTTCCAAATTGTCCACTAAATGTATTTATATAAGAGACTAAATTGAAGATGTAAACCCACGTTTTAATATTGTATCGGGAGGTTTTTCTCTAGCTTGTTTGTTTCTGCTTCTGCAGAGAATTCCTGTCAGCCTTGAATTTCTTTCATGTACTGTGACAAATGATGCCTTGCTGTGTTTTCTGCCCCTAGTCACCATGGGATTACAGATCACGTGCTACAGCAGCTTAATGTACTTGACCTTTTCATATGATTGACACAGCTAAATGATTGCAGCAAAGCAGAATTATCCACTAGCTATGTTATGTTCATTTCCAGGGGAAAAGAAAACATATTTGGTGTGAATAATCTGAGAAATATAAATATATATTTTTCAGAAAAAAACCGCTTTCTAAATATCCCAGTCGTATGACATAATAGAATAATAGCACAATAAATCATTTGAAAGATGGCAGTGTATCACTTGTATCATGAAATGGGACAAACATAAGAAAGGAATCTGTCATGACTTACTACATGCTCTAGCCTCATAAATTCACTTACCAGAATATTTCCTGTTAAGTGAATTCAGGAGGCTAGACTGTGTAATAAGAGTTGACAGATTTTTTCCCCATATTTGTCCCATTTCATGATTCACAGAATCCTAGAACAAGAAGGGACCTTGAGAGGTCATCTAGTCCAGTCCCCTGCACTCAAGGCAGGACTAAGTATTATCTGGACTATCCCTGACAGGTGATACAATGCTACATTATTTATCTTTGAAATGATTTACTGTGCTATTATTCTATTGTGTCATATAATTGAGATGTGTGAATCTGTCGGGCTTGATCAGCAGCCAAGGACTATAGGTGTAGTGGTTTCATTTAAAAAAATGAAATATCAGTAGAAATAAAACCAGACTAAGCTACCCATTAATTATTTGTAAATAGGGCACACAAAGTATGTTATGGAAGTGCAGGGATTTTGTGTCCTGTCACGATTTTTTTGGCAAAATTTCCATTGACTTCACAGAGTTCTGCATATGGATGGTTGGTAGGATTTGGTGCATACATGGCTTCAGCTTGCATAAAACTCCAGCCCAAACAAATCAGAGTCATTTCATTAAGCATGTAATTCCAGAAGATCCATCTATCTTTCTACTGTTAATTTACAATATACCCCAAATTTATCTTTCTCTCTATATAAATCTCTAGGGGATCCGTTGTTGTAGCATCGGAAATTCAATACTGGGATTTTCTCCTGTACCAATAAATTGTGTATCAGTAACACTTCAGTATTATGATAGGTCATTGTATCTTGCCATGTGCACTTTTTTAACAGTAACTTTCTTTATAGGTCACCGAACATTGTTCATTGGAGTTCACGTACCGCTGGGTGGAAGAAAAAGTCACCGACGCCATAGACACCGTGGACACAAACACAGAAAGAGAGACCGGGAACGAGATTCAGGATTAGAGGATGGGAGAGATTCTCCTCCTTTTGGTAAGGTTTATTTCTTCTTGCTGGATCTTTTAACAATAAACATCAATACCACAATGCATACTTATCCTCCTCTTATATTTTAGGCAGTAGTAATATTTGGGGTTGCAAGCCAGAGCCTTTCAGGTCTGTTCTAAAAATCTTTTGACATTTCCTCCTATTGTGTTTAAGTTTAGGGGATGAATAAATGAATATGCTTACTATTAGTAGTGTTGTAACATTCTAGAGCATGTATTTGGCGATAGGCACTTTATATAAATGGATGGAAACTATTGGTGCTGGGGAATTGGCTTCTCTAAAATGTAGCAAGACCGGGTAATGTAGTGCTAATATTGAAATAAAGGGCCCGCTCCTGAACTGTTGTGAATTTACACCAGCTTAAGATCTGATCCAGAGTCTATATCTTGCCTCTGTCCTTACATGACATTGTAAGGTGTAAATGTATTGTGACTTCAGTCATATTGTGAGATCAGTCTTGGTGTCTAGCTAAGGATCATGCCCTATTTTTTGTGGTGAGAGGGGCAGGAACAAGAGTGAATGCAAGGGGGAATACAGGCATTTATGTGGGGAAATGTGATATTTATCAAATATTTCTAGTATGAAAGGATCTCAGCCACCCTCCCACACCAAATGTATTGAAAAGGGGAAGAAAAGTGGGTACTCCCATATGTGTGTTTTGACATGTGCCCTCATGCATACATCTGGATGACAGCTAACTGTGGATTTGGGGGAGAGGAAAAAGCTAGCAAAACAAACCACTCAAACTATATGGAAACCATATCACAGTGCAGCACAAAAGAATATTTTTAGTTCATTGGGGAAACGTAAGTGCCAGTGTAATTTTAGGTTGCAAAGCAGTCATTACAAGATCCTTTATTTTAGACTGAATTTTAAATTATCTGTGTGGAAAGCTTTGAAGCAGTGTATTACAAGTGGTGAAGCTCTAAGTCTGTTTAAAAGAACTTGATTTATTCAAATCTTTCACAGTAAAATATACCAGGGACGAAAAAGCAGGAAGCTAAGCGTGTGTTTCTCAAATTCAGTAGGAATATAGAGGATTAAGAATGTAAAGAATTAATATTGATGAAGAAAAATGCCTGACTCAGTTTGGAATGAATTTCAGTTCCACAAGAGCATATAGTATCTATAGATACACTTAAAATGGATTGTATATTTCAAATCTACAAAAAGCATGCATTATTAATACAAATGTATTTGCTTTTTACCATGATTAATATTTTAAGGCATAGTAAGAGAAATATATTTTGAAACAACCTTTCTTTAAAAAAATAGAGTTCAAAGTTGTTTAAAATGTTTTAAAGAACTTCTGCATATATAATGTTGTATATTTTTAATAGATAAACACTGAAAGCTTATGTTAACTAAGGGGCCAGATTTTCAAAAGTGGTCAGGACCCAACAGCTCCCAGTCAGTCTCCTAATTTCATTTAGATGTGTAAATGGGAGCTAGCTCTGCTGAAAACTTTGCCCTGGTCCTTCCACCCCAAGACATCTAATTTTGTGTCCTTTCCTTTATCACAAGCAAAAAAATGAGTTTTCGTTTCATCCTTACACTCTTTAATGTGCACATCACAAAACACCACTCTTTGGCACAATTCAGCATAAGTGACAGTGAGTCTCTGTTCTGCAGAGGCAAAAGAGTGGAATAGCAATCCAGATTAGGCATATTACATGTGGCTACCTTTCTCCTGATGCCCAAGGAATCGGTGTCAAACCTCTGATTTTAGGGGAAATTCTCTTATGCTAAAGTCACTCTCCGAATTATAAGTGGTGTTGCCTAGATTACTTAGTAAGAGAGGGACTCCTTTCTGTCATGATGTGCTGTACATTGTGCTATATAACTGCAATATGCGCTCCCTGGGAGGCCCCAGCAGGAACTCTGGCTGAGCCAGCTCTCCTCCATTCTAAGCAATGTTGTGAACGTTTTATCACCTATTTCAGCTGTTTTAATTTTCTACCTTCCACAAGCTCTTTTTTTATTAATAAAGAAGAACTTTCCATATTTCTTCCTGGTGAGAAAAAGTAGGGAGGGCTTCTTAGTATTGTGCAATTATGGAGGATGGAGATAAAACCAGAGCAAAAAGTGATAATAGGACAAATCCTCATAAGTCATGTGCTTCAGCCCTCTAATCATTTTTGTTGCCCTCTGCTGGACTCTTTCCAGTTTTTCCACATCCTACTTGTAGTGTGGGGCCCAAAACTGGACACAGTACTCCAGATGAGGCCTCACCAATGCCGAATAGGGGGGGATGATCACGTCCCTTGATCTGCTGGCAGTGCCCCAATTTATACAGCCCAAAATGCCGTTAGCCTTCTTGGCAACAAGGGCACACTGTTGACTCATATCCAGCTTCTCATCCACTGTAACCCCGAGGTCCTTTTCTTCAGAACTGTTGCCTAGCCACTCGGTCCCTAGTCTGTAGCAGTGCATGGGATTCTTCCTTCCTAAGTTCAGGACTCTGTGCTTGTCCTTGTTGAACCTCATCAGATTTCTTTTGGACTAATCCTCTAATTTGTCTAGGTCCCTCTGTGTCTTATCCCTCCCCTCCAGCATATCTACCACTCCTCCCAGTTGAGTGTCATCTGCAAACTTGCTGAGGGTGCAGTACACGCCATCCTCCAGATCATTAATGAAGATATTGAACAAAACCGGCCCCAGGACTGACACTTGGGGCACTCCGCTTGATACCGGCTGCCAACTAGACATGGAGCCATTGATAACTACCCGTTGAGCCCGACGATCTAGCTAGCTTTCTATCCACCTTATAGTCCATTCATCCAGCCCATACTTCTTTAACTTGCCGGCAAGAATACTGTGGGAGACCATATCAAAAGCTTTGCTAAAGTCAAGGAATAACACGTCCACTGCTTTCCCCTCATCCACAGAGCCAGTTATCTCATCATAGAAGGCAAAAAGAATGAGGGAGGATTTGATAGCTGCTTTCAACTACTTGAAAGGGGGTTCCAAAGAGGACGGATCTAGACTGTTCTCAGTGGTACCAGATGATAGAACAAGGAGTAATGGTCTCAAGTTACAGTGGGGGAGGTTTAGGTTGGATATTAGGAAAAACTTTTTCACTGGGGGGGGGTGAAGTACTGGAATGGGTTACCTAGGGAGATGGTGGAATCTCCTTCCTTAGAGGTTTTTTAAGGTCAGGCTTGACAAAGCCCTAGCTGGGATGATTTAGCTGGGGATTAGGTCCTGCTTTGAGCAGGGGGTTGGACTAGATGACCTTCTGAGGTTCCTTCCAACCCTGATATTCTATGATTCTAAATAAATCAAAGAATGGAAGAGGATAATTTTCAGTCTGCAATGAATTACAACACAAAAGAATATATTTTCATGCAGCCTGTTTGTTAAAAAATTATCATTGTGCTTCACAGACAATTAAAACCTATATATGAAATTGCAAGAAAACGATGTACTATTGGTTACAGTCATATACACAGCATGAGTGGGGGAGAAGGGGAAGCTTCAGATTCAGAAGTTTGAAACTTAGCCTATATTTATATATTTTTTCATTAAGTTCCTAACTTTTATTAAGTTTTGACAAAAAGTAATACCATACATGTAGAGAAGATTTCTATGTGAGAAATTAATAGACATATGCTAAATACATTCATCATGTGCCTATGCAATTAATCACATGCCTATGTCCGCATCATCTGCCAAAAATCTATCCTACAAATCCAAGGGTTCCCAAACTTTTTCCCTGCGTGACCACATTTTGAGACCAACTGTTTCCTGTGACCTCAACAAAGCAACACAATGACCGCGGAAGCCAAGGAATTTACACATTAAGTATGTTACTCTGTAGTGTGATGTGCGCTTGTGCATTGTGACACAGCTTCTCAAAGCCTAGCGATGCGGTAGAAACTGCACATCTAATCTTTTATGTGACATCAACATAGATTGATACCGAGACTTGATGGATGCAAATGCACTGAATCCAGCTTCACACAAATACAAATGGAACCCTGAGTTTCAAGGCATGTTTTGAGAGTGCAGGATAACAATGAACCAGGACTCTGGGAGAGAAAGTTGGGCATATATTTCTGTCAAGAATCAATTTCAGGAATTTCGCTGAGCTTTTTGGTATCAGCTGTTGGCAAATCCATAGCATCAGGCTTGCACTGAAAGAAGTTTTGCACCCCATCCTACTTTGCCACCTCCAAGTTGGGGAAAAAGGATGCAAACTGTTCCTCTAGCCAGCTGAGATGCTCAGCTATCACCTTTATGGGAGGCTGGATAATTTAATTGTCAGCCAGGAACTTGCAAAGCTATGGGAAGGATTCATAGACTTTAAAGTCAAAGGGACCATCGTGATCATCTAGTCTGACCTCCTGCACATTGCACATTCGTAGTTTGACCTCAATGGATTATTCTTCCAGCGAACAATTTTCTTCATGAATCCTGTGATTTGATCACTCAGGTGAAGGATATGGGTGTACTTTCCTTGCAGACCTGAATTCTGTTCATTCCGTTTCCCAAATACATCTGTGACAGAGGCAAGAAGGCACGTCCTCCTTTGATCACATAGAAAACCAGCAAATTCACTCTGTTTGCAGTCCATTGCATAGGCATGCAGCTCAGCTCTCAGTTCAAATAATAGTCCCAGTATTTTTCCTCTTGAGAGCCAATGAGCTTCAGTGTCGAAGAACAATACATCATGATCTCACAGTTTTGCAAATAGGCTTGGGCAAAGAGGCTGAATCTCAATGTAGTTCACAATAGAAGAGACCTGCTGCAAAAATTCTCCTAGCTCTGGACCCAGTGCTTTAGATGCCAGTTTTTCTCTATGATTCATGAAGTGAGTCCACACAGCAGATGGAGCAACTTTCTTTATCAAGGTATGCTGACCTGCTTTGTGGCCTGCCATAGATGGAGCTCCATCGTGCAAAAACCCACCATGCAATCACCTGGTAGATTTTTGTCTTGCATGTAGTGCAGCGAACATTTCTTGTGCCATATTCTGTCTAGGA